GGGAAAAACAACCCCAGCTGTTTTTTAAATAGTTTTAATAGTTTTTTGAAAAAGGAGAAAAAAAGTTGTCTGTTGAATTCGTTTTGTTTTGTTAATTTAATTTTAATCAATTTAATTAATGTTTGTTTAATTTGTTAAATTTTGTTGGAAAATTGTTAAATTTTTATCATAATTGTTTAAACTTTTTAAACTTTTACCACAATTTTCTTTATTTTTACCATAACTTTTTAAATTTTTATCATAATTTTTTAAAACTTTTACCACAATTTTCTTTAATTTTTATCATGATTTTTTAAAAATAAAAAATCGTGAAAACCATTGTTTCCGAAAGAGAGAGAGAGAGAGAGAGATAAAATCAATAGCTAAATCTCGAAACAGAATAAAACGAAAAAGGAAAAAGAAAAGAAAAATAGACCAGCAACAATACAGAAATAAGTTGAAGCAGTCACGCTACAATCTAAAATACACACGTTATATATAACAATTTTAACTGCAGTTTTATTTTTATATATTTTATATACATATTTTATTAAGTTCATTGAAGTACATCTCAATTTAAAAGAGGTCGACACGTTTGATTGTCTTAAATATATCTTTTGAATATTTTTAAACTATTTTAATAAAATACGAAATTACAGTATCTCCCCTTTCAATAATCTCTTTTTCATCATCCACTCAACATTAGTACTTCGCTTCTCGAATTCTCGGAAACATCGAGGGGAGAGTGGTCACTAGTTCATTAACTTTTCGCACAAAAACAGTTTGTCCAAAATCATTTTGCCGAAGAAGCATTTTACCGAAACATGATTTTATCGAAAAGGCCCGCCTATAGCTTACGCGAACAGGAGACGAGAAAATACAAAGAATGACTAAAAAATTTCTGTCCTTGTACAAGTCTCTCTCTAATATCAAACCGCCTGACTTAATCTGTCCTTCAATGTTGAGCGATATAAAATAGCCTTTGTTTCTGTAATGCTGGAGAGTAATAAATGGCGATGCCATTTATGCTAGAGGTTAATAAATGGCACAGTCATTTATGGTAGAAAAATCGCCATTTATGCTGAAGAGTCTCTCCTAGAACACATTTTTTCTTTCCACGATAGGGAGCCATTTATTCTAGAAATACTCTGGGTACGCCATTTATTCTAGAAACGGCGCAATTTATTTATCTAGTAATAAATTGTAACTGCTGATCCGCTGTTTCCCCCTTGTTTAAAATTCACCGATCTCGTGCTACACTTGTGCACCCATTTGTTCAGGAAAAGCAAATGCAGTTCTTCTGCAGAAGCACCAACTTCTTCACGAAAAAGCGTGAAGATCTTGTGCCCAAACGCCAAATTCTTGATAACATATGAATGTTTCCGGAATAGAAAATCAATATTGACTGCATCTTCTGCACAAGGTATACATGGTTTTCCCTGATGAAGTCGTTGAGGCCGCACAAGATCTTCACGTTTTTACTTTCTTACGTTTTCTTTCACGTTTCAACTTTTATCCGGTTTCAACTGTTTTTCCAATAGATTTAATGCCACGTTTTTATCAATAGATGTAAATAAGTCTGTAACATCTAAACTGCTTAGCATTGTCTTTTTTGTAGTTTTTATTTTATTCATCTTTTTAATGGAATCATTAGTATTTATGATCGATTTTGATTTATCACCGATAGGTTTTAGGGTGGCTTTTAGATACTTTGCTAAATATGATCAATGGTATCTCTCATCGCTACGATTAATCTCATGGAGTTATCTTTATGAACCTTCGGCTGACCTCTCACGAACGCTAACTGGTGACACGATAAGGAATAAGGGACTTCTTTTTCTCCTAATTCACCTTTGTCTAACATTTCATTTCAAATAATGGATAATTCCTTATGAATGCTTTCTGTTGAGTCGTCATTCAATTTTGTATAATTCGGAGAATTTAATTTACTTTCAATCTTTTCTATATAATCATTCACTTCCATGACTACAAGTTTTCCCCCTTTATCTGCAGGTACAACAATAATGTAATCATCATCTTTTAAATTTTTAATAGCCAAATATTGTTCTTTTGTAAGATTTTTATTTTTCCGATGTTGTGCAAATAACTGTTTTAAGTGATTATCTATGGTATTTCTAACGGACGTTACAATCTTTTCTTTAATTACTGGAGCATATTTGTAAATCCCCGATTCTACACCTGCAATCGATTTAGCAACGTACTTTGTTGAATCTACTTTACTGGTAGGAATATAACTTAAACCCAAACCCAATAGACATTCCTCATCTTTGTTCAGAACTGTCGATGATAAATTGACAACTTTCGACTGTGTTCCGCGGTTAGTTAAATTACTCAATCGTAACGACACGTTTCTAGTAGAATTTTGGTTCTTCTCAACTTCTAGTTCTTGTAGTTTTTTGTACAATCTTTCTTTTAAATCACGACGTGTTTTATCCACAACCGTAGGGACGGTTCAGCACCATGTGGGCAAGTCTTGTTTATTATGCTTTATATTCTTACTTTCTTGTTCTAGTTTCATAATTTCTTTTTGTAAACCGGCGATTGACGCATCATTATGTCTGATAGTGCTATTTATAATCCTCAAGCTCATAGAACGACAGATACTCGATACTTCCGGCACATTGCAAAACCTTTTCGTGTTAAATCTGAACCCTTTTGATATTAATCCCATCGTTTGACATTTCTTGAGAAAGTGATTCTGTTCGTATATTTTGATGTATTTCAAAACCTTTATCTTTTTAATAAAATATAGCTTGGATAATTTCAAGTATACATCGCTAAATTGATATAAGCTATTAGTACGATTATGTTGCATTTTGTAACCTTTGATACTTTTAAATAGTAATTTTATTCTCACAAATTATGTTTGTCTAAACGTTTCGATGCCTTGCATCTTCATCACTAGACACGATAAATTAAAAAGATTAAAAATTTTTTAAAAATATCAAACACGAAAAAGAATCTTATCTAGAAAGTAGAACATAAACTATAATTCTTATAATATGTAAAAAAATTAGGCTAAAACTCATGATAGAAGCCATCATGTTTTCATTACTTTTCCACCTTCCCTAAGTCTAAGATTATGAGCTATTTTAAAAAATTTTTTTTCTTTTTAATTTATTGTGTCTACTGATGAAGATGCAAGGATGCAACTACAGCAATGACCAGAGATGTTACGTCTAAACTTTTTGGCATCTGTAATTTTCCAGCTTTATACTTCAATATTTTTGTATCAGCGATTGTCCTTTTTTGTTCTTCTTTTTGTTTTCCCAATGAAATTAGCATATCATCGGATGAACTGACAGAGAACGGATACCTTTTTATCGTTGTGGTTACGATATGGCTTTTAACTCAGCTGTTTTTTGAGGTAAACATCGGCTGTGTCCACTGTAACCTATGTTATGCGAACAAATTAACGACTCATTACAGAGAAGATTGGCAACGGTTATTCCAGAAATTATTTTATGTTCATCTAGAAGGAAACAGCTAAGGTCTTCAAGGATTGAAACGACTAGAACATCTTATATTAACTGTATTGCTACTGGTGGTTTATACTGACTATTTTTAAAACTGGAGCTATTTCCAAAGTCATCGGCTAATATTTGTTCAAGATATTTGTTTATAATACGTGGTTCAACAACCGGATGTGTTTTACAAATTATGTACAAAGTCGTTCGACAGTTTCTTTCTTCTGGTTTATTTAACCATTCGATATATCGACCTACTTTTGTTACACCAAAAAGTTCAGTAAACTATCTACTGTCAAACCTGTTTACTGGTTAACCAAGCGAGGGATAGTCGTTACCGAAGAGACATTCATAATCGAGCTTTGTTCCACTTTTGAAAATAATCTAGTAAATAGTAAATAGCCTATTATTGTAAAATCTGCTATTTTCGGAACATTATTAAGTACGACTTTTACTGTACCGATTGATTTGATGCCATTATATGGTTTAAAATTCACCGATCTCGTGCTACACTTGTGCACCCATTTGTTCAGGAAAAGCAAATGCAGTTCTTCTGCAGAAGCACCAACTTCTTCACGAAAAAGCGTGAAGATCTTGTGCCCAAACGCCAAATTCTTGATAACATATGAATGTTTCCGGAATAGAAAAGAACTTCGTGGTTTCAATGGTGAAAATAGTCTTACTTGCATGGCAATCTCCTATCGAAAGCCTCACGCAACTTTCTATTCCTGCTGCAACTTAAAAGAAGAGAAAAGAGAGAGAAAGATCTTTTCATACATCGAACAGTACGATATAGCCGATGTCTATTTTCTATGTGTTCAGTTATTTTTCAAGGCTTCTTTTCCATTTCCGTTGTTCCTTCAAGGATTGTTTCCACTTCTACTGTAAATGAATAAAGCTGAGACCGGACTGATTTGTGAACATCTGCAATTTACATAATATCTAGATATTCAGATATCTTC